ACCAAAACGAAGAAGCGAAAAAAAAAGCTTATTAGCAACTGCGAGTCCGCACGTGGCCCCCACTAAGACCAACTCTTGAGCGCCAAAGTTTCCCTTTTTATACCATCTCATTCTCCCTGAGCCAGCAGCCGGACGGATTAAAATACCCCAACTTGATTAAATCACCTTCTAATCCTCTGCCACCCGGAGGTTGGGCTGATGTGATATCCCTGGCTTCAGGTGGGGCCCGCTAGCAGGCTGCTGCGAGGCTAGTGCGCAGTTAGGCCGCGGGGGAGTAGGGGGGGGGGCGACCACGAGAAAAAAGAGAGGGGAAGAAAGTGCCGCAAGGCGAACCAACATAACCCCCGGGACAGACAGCTGTCAAGCCGGCGATTGCTGCGATCGCCTGGAAGTGCCTGGAATCCTTGGACCGTCCGGACGACCTTCCTGCAGGATGGGACTCTGGAAAAGCGCCGTCTTCGCTGCGCCATCTCCGCGGTGCGACGCTTAGCGGGGTTAAATGCGCCACTCGCACAGTACAGTGGGCCAGAAGACCGGTGGAGGCCGTCAAAATCCCGGACGCGTTTTGTGCTCCACAGTCGCTAAGTGGGACTCGAACCGAACGTGTGACCCCACCAATGGATTGCTCTCCGAACGAGGAATCCAGTGGTGGGGTCACACGTTCGGCTCGAGTCCTATTTAGCGACTCTGGAGCTCGAAACGCGTCTAGAGTTTTGGCCGCCTCCACGTTTTCTGGCCCACTGTGGGTCGTCTTGCTGCGCCATCTTCGCGGTGCGACGCCCAGCGAGGTAAAGACGGCACTTGGGTACTCGGCAATACAGCCGGCCGACAGCGACCACAACCTGAACGGTGTTTCGATATGATGTGGCGCCCGCTTGCGGGTTACGGCCCAGCGTTACGTCATAAATGGATGGCGTGGCGTGGCGTGGCTCGAGGGGTCGGTCAGGCGGGGCTTTTCACGAGATACCACTCAGGGGCGGGTGTTCGGGAGGGTGCTCGGCAGAGCCGAGGCGAGGCGCGATAACAAACTTGTCCCCGGCAGGTATCCGGGCCCGGGCCCTCTCAGCAGCCCCCGAGGGGTGCGTTTTTCAACACGCACTGTGGGATTTAAAAAAGAATTTCGTATTTTTCTTTAAATACGCAAACAAATAACAACTGGACAATTTTTTGTGCTTTATGAACAAAACTGTTTTCTAGCATGAATTTTGGTACATTCTAAAGTTCTAGAGTCGCTCGACGCCCTCGACGATCTGCTAAACTCCTGGAGCTCCAGGACAGTCCCTTTTAGGGACTGCCACAGCGAGACAGCCCCACTGGCCAGTCTGCGAGGGGTGACCCACTGTAAGATTGAGTGTACCATGAATGTGGGAATGTGTTGGAATGTGCATTCTGCTGTATTTGTCACACGTGTTGCCTACTTACAGGCGTTTTTTCCAACAGAATGTGGTTATGTGTTCAAATTTTGTCTGAGGAAGTTTGTCTCCCCCACGACAGTCTGACCCCCCGCCCCAGAGCGCCTCACTGCCAAGCCCTTCCTGAAGAACCGTCTGGCCGCTCTGTTTCACTCGCACCCCTTGCGGGGGGGCCACTTCGTGAGTGCGACAGTGAGAGAGAGAGGGGAGAGAGAGAGAGAGAGAGAGAGAGAGAGAAAGGGCGTGTAGGGCGGCGGCCACACATTCGCGCGGCTCTGAATAAACCCGGCCAGTTAAGCGGCGGCCGCAACGGCGCTGGAATTACCCCGACCGGGCAGCGATTAGCGCCGATGCCAGCGGGGCTAGCGGACCAGCGCCGCTTCCGGTAAATCGCCGGAAGCACGCAAGCACGCCCAACCTCGCCCGGCCGCAGTACCGCTGCACAGCTCTCCTTGTTGCGCTGCAGACTGATTCCGAGAGTCGTTTTCATCGCTCTGTCTCTCTCGCACTCACGCCTATGAGTGCGAGAGAGACAGCGACGAAAACGAGTCCCGGAATCAGTCTGCAGCTTGCTCAGGGGGGCACAGGGGATGGGCCGAGAGGTTTTTGTTCCCTCACCCTAGATAGCCGCTTGAGAGGTAGGCAAAAAGCCGTCCTTAGCTCTTCAAAGTTGACAAAAAAACCTACTTTGCCCGCCCCTCTCCCCCCAAAGGCCGTAACTGGATCAGCCACTATGAATGCTGCAGCATGCATGCATTTTGGTGCCGTGCCGAGTGGAGGTCCGCTAAATTTTGCGCTTATAAGCGAAGGCTCTCCGAAAGCGAGCGCTGCCAGCCGCAGCGGCTGGAGGACAAAGGAGCAAGTTTTGCGAAAAAAGGGCGTAGACAAAGATGATTGGATAAAAACCCTTATAAAACGGGGAAGGCTCCGAAATGGGTCCGATCGGACGATCCGAAATTTTCCGGAGGACAGTCCGTCAGTCCCCGCCGGACAGTTCCGAAATCTTTCCCGGACTTGCCGGGAATCGGTCGAAAAGTACCACAATCAGAAGGATTTCGGGGAGTCCGACAGGGCTGGTCGGGCTCGTTCCGGGCCGTCCGAGACGAGTCCGGAAAAGAAAGAAACTGGCGCTGGCCGAGGTGGGGCTACTGTGGCTGGATTCGTTCCCGGGACCCTCTCCTTTGGACTTTCCTTGTTGCTTGTTGTCGACGTCGCTGACCACTGCGCTAACCTGAAACATGAGGACCGGGCCCGCAGGCGAGCCTCTTCACCGGCGCGGCGCTCATTCCTCCTCTCTGTGGCGAGCGCACCGTGCGCTATGCAAGCTAGAAGGGTGCGGTTTTCGACGCGCCTCTTGTCTGAATCACGTGTATGGCGGGATTCGACATAGTGGCTCACATATTTTAAATTAGATCTGATAAAATTTGAGCAGCTTTAGTCGTACTCACTATGTGAAAAAAATATATATTCATGGGAAATTTCTTTGCTGTCAAGCATTAACAGATTTAGGTCATTGCCGTACTGAACGAGTACGTAATATTTTAACACGCCGCCCTGCATGTTACAGTTTGACGCTGATTTTTTTTTGCAAAATAAATGTGTGTTCTAATACAGGGTGCTTTCTGATGACACTGTGTGACCTGTGCATCTGCGCAGGTATGGGCGGGTTAGAGGCGTCCCGCCGGGGTAACCCGAGGTAACCCGTCCCCCCGCGCGACCCGCGTGCGGCGGGGGCTTTCCCGCGAGGCAAACAATCCCTTCGGAATTATTCGCTTAAAATTCTAGGAACCTGAGGCAAACAAGAGAAGGCCTACCCAGGATAGAGAATACCGCTCGACTCGCCGCTATCAGGCACTGCAACATGTTCAAAAGTTCGAACTTGCCCTAACAAGATTGACTGTATACCGGCCGGTCCCAACCCAAGGCTTTCAGGCGGTCACCCCTGCATCCGGACTGTCTCGGACAGACCGTCGGACAGATTCGGACGCTCCGACAGACTTCGGCAAATAATCGGGCAGTCCGCTTCGCCAGTCCCCGGATTCGGACTTGAAAAGTCGAGTCCCGGACAGAAAACGGGCTGTCCTGGGCCAGTTGGACAGCTTTGGATGTGTCCTCGGCCAGTTTCGGATGATTTCGGTTTGGTAAGGGAAACTCAAACAAAAATTAGGAAAGTGTTGACCTGGACCCGGAGAAGCGCTGCGACTTGCGGCGCTCCCTTTCGCAGCGCGAGCCAAGACGTCCTTTTAGCGCCGGCCGAACACACTGTGAAAATTTGTCATCACTTTATGACAAAAACGCGGATGACATTTTCGTCAATTTCGAATTATGACAATCTCATCACAAATTGATGACATTTTTATCAAAGCTCCTATACTTATTGCATGGGCATCAATTTTTTTGATGACATTGTTGTAAGGAAAATTAGCCTTGAAATTGTCATCAAGTGATGACTCAAATTTTCACAGTGCACGGGCAGCTGGCTGCAGACTGAGAGGTCCCTCTGTCTCTCTTGCACTCACGGGGCTACATGCGCGAGAGAGACAGAGCGACGAAGACGACTGTCGGTAGCGGTCTACAGTGGAGGGACGGGACGGGGGCAGGGCGGCCCCGCGAACCAGGTCCGTTTTGCCTCGCTGCATTCATTATTTCCCCCGGACCCGCTGCTGCTGCCGGGAGTGCTGGAACAGCAGAAGACGGCCCGGAATACGTAAAACGCGGAACGCGTCAAAATTGGCCGCCGCGTAGCGCAACGTCACGTGGCGTTACTTGTTGGACTTGTTGCCTGTTTTGCCTCGGCTCGACCGTGTCGCGCTTCGGGGGCGTCACGTGTGCTGCAGCGTGTGCGTGTGTGCAAGTGTGCGTGTGTGATAGAGAGAGAGAGAGAGAGAGAGAGAGAGAGAGAGAGAGAGAGAGAGAGAGAGAGAGAGAGCAATCACGAGGACGGTGCGTCCGGCGCTGGCCGAGGCCGACGCATGTAAATGCGAAGCAGCTGGCACCACGTACAAAGCCGCTGACGAGAGTTCGACACCAGAACAAAAACAAAACAAAAGAACGAAAAAAATCAATTCAAAATGGTGTGTGATATGTGTGGGCGGGCGGCGTGATAGTACTCGCAGCAGCGCGGGCTGCGGAAAAATATTTGCATCTGCTAAAAAATATCAAAAGAAAAAAGTTAAAAAAAAAATGTGGGCAGAGTAGAGAGATCAACGAGTAATTTGCCATCGGTTTTTCCAAGAGGGAGAAAAACCCAACGGCGTCGGCGCGCTTTTTATGCATAACATTTTCAATAATTTCAGCGCGAGGCGCGCTGCCTTGAATATAAATCGTCCCTGCATTTGTGATGTGCCTCGAAGTGCGCGTTAGCGGCGTTAGCGTGCCCCAAAGTGACCCTTCCATCGAGTGGGTGCGATCCAGCCGCAGCGGGGTCACAGACTGTCACAGAGTGTGCGTGTGCATCATCATGGCATTTGTTTTTTTGCTTGTTGAGTTTCTTTTTTCAGCGGCCCAGCTCGACCGTGATGTTTTGTGTTTCCAGTTTATTTATTTTTGTTTCGTTTCCAGGGTGTCGCCCCGTGGCACTGCTCCGCCGCCGCCACGCCGCCGCCCTCCGCCGCTGCCATGCCGTGAGTAGTGTACAGTGTACACACATTTTTAAAAGCGGTGGCGCTATGATCGGCAAACAGAAAGAACGAAAAAAATTAGAGACGATAACACTTCCGTGTAATTGTCGGCCGCTCAAAAAAAGCCGCGCGTGTCGCCGCTGCCCTCCGCGTTCTCACGGCGTTGTTATTATTACTGTCGTTGATCCGTTGTCCTTTTTCGGGTGTGCCGGAATTACTGTCGCAGCGGACGTGCGAATGCGTGCCACAAAAAAGCAGCGGCGGCGCGTGGAGTGGAGCGTCCAGTAGACTGATTCCCAGAGCCGTTTCCGTCGCTCTGTCTCTGTGGATGCGAGAGAGACAGTGGCGGAAACGACTCTCGGAATCAGTCTGCAGGACAAACGGAAAATGAAGTCTCTCTCTTTGTGTGAACCGGACTCAGGCCCAGCCGGATGCCTTTTCAGAGGGCAACTTGAATTAAAAGCCCTTGGGTCACGAATCGACGCCTCCCAGCGAAAGAGGTCCGCGGGTAGCTTACAACTATGCGACGAAACTGACCCGTTGCGCGTGAGAGACACTCAGTGTCAAAATATGCAGCCTGGAGAGAAGGGCGCCCTTCTCTCAAGATGCATCCGTGTCTCAAGCAGGCGGAGTAGCATCAGTCTGTACTCGAGTCTGTACTCGAGTCTGTACTTTGGCCCACAACAGCGCGGTGAAGAAGTTCCCCCGTCGCTACTCCACGCGCGAGAGGCTCTCAATTCCAACCTGCAGCCGAGTCTCTAGGGCACGGGGTAGCGACGCCGCGCCGCCGCCCTTGAACGAGCGCCAAGTTCGGCGCAGGCGGTGACATGCCGCCACGCCGCCCGGCAGACTGTTTTCGAGAGTCGTTGTCGTCGCTCTGCCTCTCTCGCGCTCATGGGGCGTCCCGTGTGGATACTAGAGAGACAGAGCGACGAAAAAGACTCTCGGAATCAGTCTGCTGTCCTGTCGGCGGCACAGACGTCCCCCGATTGCCTCACCTCGCAGTGCACGGCCCTCTTGGCGGCGGCCAGCCGTGAAACGCCGCCAATCGAAAGGCTGTCAATCGAAGCGAGCAAGCCGAAGTGCGCCCTGGCAGCAGACTGATTCCGGAGAGTCGTTTTCGTCGCTCTGTCCCTCACGCACCTATACGGGAAGCCCCATGAGTGCGAGAGACAGAGCGACGAAAACGACTTTTGGAATCAGTCCGCAGCGGCGCGTATGCGTCGTCTGCTTTTCCAGTCACCGAGCGCCGACGCGCCGACCGAACTGAAATACTGCTTCTCGAGGCGGGACTGGCGCAGCCCGACCGCACGTGCAGTCATGTTTTTCCACCGCATTAACCAACCCAGTGCGGAGTGCGGGTCGAGAGTGGGGCCGAACCCGACCGCGTTCGACAACATAACCAAACCACCGATTCGCCCCGTTATTTGTAGGTTATGGGGTGCAAGGGGGTGCAAGGCGAGCGCTCACATTAGTTTCCATTTAGTTCCGCAGACTGCCACAGCCACCTGTGGCGCTGGCCCGGGTGGGTGCGGAGGTGTGAAGGGAGGCGGCATTGTGGAAGGGGGGGGGAGGCCAAAGAAATAACAGCGAAACGAACCAGGTTCCACGCACGCTTGTGGCGCGTTCGAGGAAAAATTGGGCGTCCCGAGACTAGTCCTAGTCCCGGCGTCGCCAGGCGGGGCTCATAAAAGCTGCGACGCTTGACACCGCGCACAGTGGGCCAGAAGACCGGTGGAGGCGGACAAAACTCTATAGACGCGTTTTTAGCCCCAGAGTCGCTAAACGGGACATGAACCGAACGTGTGACCCCACCAATAGATTGCTCTCGGAACGAGGAATCCATTGGAGGGGTCATACGTTCGGTTCGGGTCCTGTTTAGTGACTCTGGAGCTCAAAACGCGTCTGGAGTTTTGGCCGCCTCCACCGGTCTTCTGGCCCACTGTGCGACACCGACCCCACTTTGGTGGCGGATCAGACAGACGTCGTCGCGTCGTCGCGCGGGGCACGACCGGCACGACCGCGGACGAGTGGCCGAAATCCAGAGACACGTCACCGCACCGCCGGGCCGCGCCGTGCCGCCCGCGCCAGACGCGATTCCACACACGTCCGCGCACACTCTTCGCGACAGGGGCGAGAAAAAAGAACAAAGTGCAAGAAAACAACAAAAAGTGGAGCGCGGCGGCGGCGGGGCGGGGCCGATGCGCGAAGTAGCTGCACCCCTTTTATTTTGCCGCTCCCGAAACTCGTTTCTCCTCTTCCTCCCCTCCGTCGCCCCCGAGTGGCACTATGCTGATTCATTCCCGCCCCACGTGCACCTCAGTGCCTCGCCGGCCGCCCTGCGACGCGCCGCGTGTCACTGGTCTGAGAGAGAGAGAGAGAGAGAGAGAGAGAGAGAGAGAGAGAGAGAGAGAGAGAGAGAGAGAGAGAGACAGAGAGAGAGGGGGGAGAGAATGAGAGAGGGAGGGGGAGAAAGACTCTGTGCACTACAAATCAAGTCCCGTTTATTGCTTGTTATTCCGTCGTTTCATGTATATCCTGCCTCACTCATTTTCACCAGCCCTCTGCCGGGCTCGCGCTGCGTCGCGTCTTTGTGTGTGTGTATGTGTGTGTGTGTGTGCACGTGTGGGTGTTTGTGTGGGTACGTGTGTACGTGTGTGTGTGTGTGTGTGTGTGTGTGTGTGTGTGTGTGTGTGTGTGTGTGTCACTAAGTCAACAGTTTCGTCCATTAGTCCCGCTCGCCAATCCGGACAACATTGCGTGTTACTTGCGTGACGTCAATGGGGTGCTCCGCCATGCCTGTCATCCTAGAATGCGCCAGCATCACGATAACCCCCTCATCCTCGCCCGTCCTGCGCTCTCTCTCTCTCTCTCTCTCTCTCTCTCTCTCTCTCTCTCTCTCTCTCTCTCTCTCTCTCTCTCTCTCTCTCTCTGTCTCTCTAGCATGCCCGCCGTCGCGGTGCTGGTCCTCTATAAAGCACCTCCGAAATCCTTGATCTGCCACCCACAACCGCCTGACGCGCTGGAGTGCCGCGGCCCTCGCCTTGCCGACGACGGCGCGGTGCTTGGCGGGGAAAACACACACACACACACACACACACACACACTCACACACACACACACACACACACACACAACGACGTCCTGGCGCTCAACGAGGACGCCGCCGTTCCCCTCGGACGCGCCGCCGCCGCGCACCGCGACTGCAGACAACAGACTGATTCGGAGTGTCGGTTTCGTCGCTCCGTCTCTCTCTCATCCATCCGGGACGCCCCATGAGTGCGAGAGAGGCCGAGCGACGACAACGACTCTCGGCATCAGTCTGCAGGGGCCACCGCCGGCCCGACCCGACCGCGACCAGCCCGACCCTTTTCCGAGCCGGAGAATAACACGGCCAAGCATCGGCCGCTCTGTCTCGGCCCATTGCTCCGACTCGGGGCGCGGCGGGGCGGGGCGGTCGAGGCGGGGCCATGCGTGAAATTGGCATCATCCTTGCGGTGGCCGCCACGGCGCGCCAAGACCCGCCGCGTCCCCGCCACTGTGCAATCGGACTTGTTGACGGGCGGCTCGATGCTCGCCTACCTCTAGGCAATCTCGGTGGAGAGGCGGTCGCGGTCCCCCACGGTCCGCGTGAGTGTTTATTTGCGCACCAAATTGCTATACATCGTCGGGGCGCAGCGCGGGGGTATAAACAACAACAACAAAAAATTTTTTCGCAGTGGCGAAAACAACAACAGCATTTTTCGCGGTGTGATGGCGCTGTAGTGCCGCGCCACGCTGCTGCTGTCCAAGAAGGTTTTGTTAAAATATTGAGCGGTGCGTCGTCGTCGTGCACAGCAGGCACTCCACTTTGCTGACAGCTTCGGTGGCCTCTGAGGGGGCGCCGCCGTGCCGCCGTGCCGCCGTGCCGCCGTGTTGGCGGGCTTCGAGGACCCTCCGCGGCGGCGCTGCACGTGCGCGATTTGGCAACGCCGCGAATGCGACACAGCACAGCCCCGCGGGGCAACCCGACGACCTCCCCACGCTCCCCGTTAGAAACACTCGAGGCGCCCCCAGATTCGGTTTTCACTGCTTTCGCGTCTCGAACCGAGTTTTTCCCCCCTTTTTTTCTCGTCCATCTAGGTGGAGCGAGCTCCCGGCAGCAATGTCCCCCCGAGACTGCAAGCGGGACGACCTGAAAAGTTTATTCCTTGCTCCTACACCAGTGGAAGGGGGAAACCTGCAGGCTTAAAGGATTCCAGGAGGCTCGGCGGGGCGGGGAGGGGGAGGAGCGGGCTATGACGAACCAGTCACCCCATCTGCATTTCATGAGAGCCTTGTCGGAGTCGGACATTGCGGGGGGAGGGGGGGGAGGGGGGCAGGCGGCAGGTGTCTGGAGCACGGTGGCGGCAGAGCACCCACAACGTTTTCCATCAAAGCCGCCGCCAAATTAATTTCGAAACGGCCGCGTGCGTCCGGTCTCCTAGTTTTCCTGTTCGAAATCAATTACACTCGCTCGACGCGTCAGCACTGGGCGGCGCGCGCTCGACGCTCCTGGCGCACAACAAGTAGAGCAACGCGATGGAGGCCGAGGCCGGCGAGGGATTCAAGGCGCTCATCAGGATCGCAACAACCGTTGCGGTGATTGCAGAGGCTGGCCACCCCCCCCTCCCCCAAACGCCCCCGCACGGGCCGCAACACAACAACAACAACGCACTCGGCGACTGAGAGCGCCCCTAGCCCTTAATGGTAATGGTAACGGAGGATAGGCCGGCCCGCCGCACTGCCGCGTCGCACGCACCCGCTGGTTGCCTGCCGCCACGGCGCTCTCCACGAGGGGAAATAACTCCAGCCTAATTTGTACACCGAAATTCATCTAACATCTAACATGTTAAATTCACTGAAATTCATCGAAATTTGACTGTAATTCATCGAAATTTGACTGAAATTCATCGAAATGAGTAGTTTAGGTCCATCGAAATTTGACTGAAATTCATCGAATTCGGACTGAAATTCATCAAAAT